ATGCCTGCTGCTCTATTGTGTGGGGAGGGGGGACTCTGTGCACAATCACACAGTGACTGCCTGGTCCAACGATCACATGGTTTTCTGGGGGTGCCACAGGGTGGCCATGCAAAAGTTCCCCCTTAACTCAACTGGCACTTATCTCTCCCCCACTCCAATCTACTGGTGCAGAATGGCTGTCACTTGCCCAGGTGGGGGTACTGCACTGCAGGGGGGGGGGAGAGAGTTGGAACCCTTACGATGAAAAGCGCTATATAATGACAACGAGGGATTATTTTTCTTGTGAGATATAGTACTGGAGAACTACGGCGGCAGCCGAACTAAACAGTGTTTTCGTGTAAAAACAGATGTACATCTTCGTTATTCCCAATCACCCATAGTGTAAGCCTACAAGTCGGCTGTGTGGTCCGGCGGTTTTTTTTTTAAAAAAACCTACGCTTTATATCCCGCTGATTGTTTCCGTGGGTCAGAAACACGTGGAAATGTATCGCGGGCGGCTGTGCTCCGGCCACACCCAAAGAACACGTGGCAGAGGCGGAAGTCAAGGAAGTTGAGAGCCGCCGATTAAATCCTGTTGCACAAGATAGCCGTGGTTGTAGCAGAACTAATAAGTAGTTGATGAACGTTTTTAAGAACCGACAGCTACGACAAAGCAAACGCCAAATTCATGACCGTGCAAAGAGCAGCCAGAGGTGAGATATTTTTGTCACGATGCTTGCAGAGAATACTAAACTTCTTTATAATAACCGCAGCAAGTGTGCTAGCCCGTTGTTTTTTTAAATCCATAATGTCTAATGGTTTCTAATTAGTCCCTCGTGGCCCACACTGCCCTCTAAACGTGGAGAGCCTAAATGTTAAAGTCATAAATGTTAAAGTGTAGACGAAAGACGATGGAATTTTTCAAACAAACACCACGGTCCGGGATGAGGGTGCGATATGTGCTTGCTAATTTTAGGACCCCTTTTCTTTTTTGTTTATTAAATTCCCAAGACAAAGGCTGAAAGAAGAAAGGCACACTCTCTCCACCATGATCATCCATCCCTGTGCATCACTGCTTTGGAGATTAGGGTGCACCAGAAGAGGGCGCCCTTATCAAAAATCCGATCGGTAAAGTCCACACACACACGCAGGTTGAAGTTTTCAAGTCGCACATGTACACGACTACAGCAGGGAGCTGTGGGCTATTCTGAGATCTAAAGTTTCTCTACTCTTCACATGATCTCACAACGGCGACAGCCCGGGTTACCGGGCATGTGCTATTACCAGGGTTTCGTGCTGGCCTGAATAAAAAAACAAACAAATCCCGCTATCGGGCAGCCGCA